CAAAAATAATTATTTTTATCTTATCTAATATTATACAGTGTATTACCAATACTGGATTATATTATCTTATACAATATCATACCAAACGTTGAATAGTATTAAAATTTAATCAGATCTTGTAAAATTAGGCCTTATACTATCAGGTCTTGTACTATCAGATTTTATCCTATACTATGTATCAAACATGCCCTAAGTATATTTCAATACACCATTAGTGTGGTGATTACATAGTATATCAAAAGTAATGAGCAATTAAAAGGTCATCCACACATCATAAGGCATATGAAAGGCCAAAGGTCATCCATATATTAAAATAGACATTTTATAACACTCCTCCTTGGATGACTGTACACTTTGATTATGTTCCGTTAAAACCTTCTAAGAAAAACCCAATGGGATAAAGAAAATTGCGAAGGAGAAAAAGTACAATCTTCATAGTTAACGTACCACCTTTTATATGCTAATATAGATTGTTTAATTAAAAAACTCAACTAGTTAAAAACTTAATAAAGAAAAAAAAAGTGTAATTCTTATAACTCCCGCTCAATTAAGCCATATAGATATTGTTGGAACCAATGTTGTTAAAATCGAGATCTTAAGTAAAATTGGAAGAGGATTAAAAAATCGTAAATCGTAAAATCGTAATGTAAAAAAATCGTAAAAACATAAAAGCGTTTGGAATATTAGTAAAATCGTTTTGATGAAAAAAATCATAAAAACGTAAAATCGTAGTGATAAATCGAGATTTTAACAACAATGGTTGGAACTAAATAAGTGGAGCAATAGTTACAATTTTTCATAATGGCTATATCGTAATCTTCGCCCATAATAAATTGTAGTAATTTCCATTCAATTAGATCAGTAACATTTTTTTTTTTTTTTGTAAATTAGATCAGTAACATTCATCTACAATACTTCACATCGTTGCGCTAAGTTCTTGCCTTAATTACCTCATTTCATTCATTCTGGCCTGAATGCTTATGGCATTCTTGAATAAATCTGCATTCTTGATCCAGATTATGTTTTGAGACAACAAGAACTATTGAGAAGACAAATAAATTATATAACAAATAAATAAACAAAATTGCTAAATTATCTATTTCCAAAAAAAAAAAAAAAAAAAAATTGCTAAATTATCCTTTATTGATTCTCTCAAATCCCAAAACGATGTAGTTTTTGGATTGTTAGATTATGACCTAAATTAATCTTTCCTAAATTATTACCTCTTCACGTCAGCCGATAAGTTTCTGAAAAGTTTCTGAAGAGAGAGAAAAAAGTAATTTTAATATTATAACTATGTACTTCTTAGAATACATAAAGACAAAGTCTTATATCCTACAACAAGATAAACAATAAAACCTTATATATATATATATATATATATATATGGAAAAAAATATTTCTCCTATCTCAAGAGATAAAGTTATCTATAGCAATCCCAAAACTATATCGTTTTGAGAATTTAGAGAACTAATGAAAGATATTTTAGAAATTTCGTTTGTTTCTTTATTATACGAATTTTACTAAAACATCCTTCATTAATTCCCTTAATCCTTAAAATAACGTAATTTTAAAGGTTGTTGGTGATAATTTTATCTCCTGGAACAAGAGAAATGATAAATATATATATATATATATATATATATATATATATATATATATATATATATATATATATATATATGACTTTTTGCTTAAAGATTTTTGTAAGATTCTTCTCTAGCATAAATTTATGAATAGTTTCTGTAACACCCCGTGTATACCCGGTAATGTTATCATACTATCGTATTAAGCTGCGCTTAATTAAAAATTGCGGAATATCTTTTTTTTTCAATTATGATGTCATTATACTTAGCCAAGTTGATTACTTAATCAATTTCATAAAAACAATGCCTGTATGTAAATTGCAAGACAACTAACTGAAATACCTCAATAAATAAATAAAGTTAGTATCTAAATCACAGATCTACATCACGTAGTCCGGACAATATCCTGATACATTATTACAACTCCAAATAAAACTAAGACATAACTAGTCTATGTGTCATGGACAATCTCCATGCTTACCAAATCAACAGCGTCTCAACTAGATCATCATAAACATAAAATGAAGCTCAAAGCATAAAAGCAGCATGCATATCCAGCATCCAACATGTCAGCATATAATATCATCAATATCTAACTCAGCTCCGGCCTCCTGCCGCCTGGGGCCTCAACCCCCACATTACCTGATCCTGAAATAAGAATTCCCCAAACGTGGCGTGAGATCTCTAAACTAGAAATCTCAGTAAGACAAGGGGTCCTCAAGAATCTTCCACCCCAAGCTCACTTACATGTGCAATATAAGTTCTAAAAGCATTTATATCAATATCAGTTCCAAAACTATGCAGTGCGACAGATATTCATGCCATGTGTGTTTAAACTATTCTACTAGCCAGAGAAATGTAGGAATACGTCTATTACTCACACCACTACTAAAAAAATCTTGTATAGCGAGGGAATTGCTATACAAATTTCGTCGTTAATTTCATCCTTGTTACTACTTTCCCTCGCAATTTCCCTCGCAAAATCGTTTGCGAGGGAATTTGCGAGGAAAAGTAGTAGCGATGATGAAATTAGCGACGGAATTTTCATAACAATTCCCTCGCTATACAGGATTTTTCTAGTAGTGCACGTAGTACAAGGAACACCGCTTGCACCTCACCCACAGCCTCACCATATTGTATGTACTACATACTCAGGCTTACCGTATAGGTGGAACACCACATGCATATCATAAAGGCACTAGCATATAATAGCTCAATAGCATTTTCAAAACATCAAAAGCATGTAACACAGCATGCATATAAGCATACCCCCATGGGACATGGTGGAACCACAACATGGCTAAACCGAGGACACGAAAGCTTACCTCTTAAACTAACTATCCAATCCAAGAGTCCACAGCTCAAGTCCAACACACAGCAGATCGCAATCTGATTTAGGACCAGCAAGTATATCAACATACACAGCTCAAAAGCATTAACATAAAGACTACGTTCTCCTTTAACGATTTACGTCTTAAGGCTTCCAACAAAGCCACAAGCCCTTAATCACATGATTCTGACTTAGTTCATTAATTACAGAAGTTCAACTTCATCAATCTAGGGTCCACAAACCCCCAATAGCCTACTGTACACACAACACAGCTACTGTTCTACGAAATCCCAGAATATCCGAGTATTCCTCGGGGACATATCCAGATATACAATATCCGGATATCTCACTGACAATATCCGGATATCCAATATCCGGATATCTCACTGTCAATATCCGGATATCCAATATCCGGATATCCAGATCCCCATATTTGGATATCAATATCCGGATATCAATATCCGGATATTTCACGGGCAATATTCGGATATTTCGCGACAGAATGCAGTTTCTGCATTTTCGCGAAGATATCCTTCAAAGGTTCCATTTTTACCGATTACAGAAGCCTAAACATGCATTTCTAGGTGTGTTTGACATTACCCCATGTTAGGTTATCATCTTTTAACCATTACATGCATCAAGGTTCCATTTTTAGGCATAAAAACTCATGATCAAGTTGAGGTACATACTCAAGGCTTCAAAGCAGAAACAAGGGCTGCTCTTGGAGCTCACAACCAGCTCCTACAAATTGACTACACAAGACCACGAAAATGCCACCAAGCTTGGCCCTTTCTTCACAAAGGAAGCTCCTTGAAGCTTCTCAAACCAAGAAGATGACTCCACAACCCCCCAACTCAAAAAGACAGCACCTCAAGCCCACTAAGACAGCAACACAACTCAGAACATAAGCTTCTCTCCCACTTACAAGTGACCATCACACCCAACCAAGGTGTTTACTCAACAAAAGAGAAGAAGAAATGGAGTAAAGGTGACCACTTGGCTCAAGAAATGAAGGAGAAGCCAATGAAACAGTGCACTAACACTCAGCCACCAAGAGAGTCAAATGTGTGGTGGGTTTGTGTTCAATCTGAGGTGATTATTTATATGCATCAGAGCCTCGGTATTATGTGTTCAATCTTCATAGCTCTGCACTTTCTTTTGTGAAATTTCCTTAGCACAGGTGTGTGGTGGGTCTGTGCATTGTCCACACTTCAAGCTCAGTGGACTCTCATGTGAGGGGTATATTAGATAATAGTATAAACTATTAAAAAGCTCTAACTCATCAGTTTAAGCTTTTGGGTTGAATTGATTATTTATAATTATTATGGATGCTTACATTTTTTAGGAATGCTTAATTAAAATAAATACATGACTGATGAATTGTAAGAAATTTTTTTAACAATTTTTTAAAAATGTTATTTGAGAAAAAAAATTAACATTTTTTTATTATTAGTTAAAATTTTATGCGCATTATTGTATTAATAGAGAGTAAACCCAAATTATTTATAGTGGTTTATATTTCGTATGTAACATAAGATGAGAATTTTTATAGCACACACATACTCAGGTGGGTCCCATTGAAAAAATTAAATCTATTGGCATGCAAAACGGTGTGAGTGTAACATGAGAAGGCTCTTCTTATGTTACATAAGAATTATAAACCCCTTATTTATATTTTACTAATTCATTTTCATCTTTTATCTATTTTATTTAAGGGTTTTATTAGTCTCATTTAACATAAGATAGTTGTTTTATGTTGTAGAGAGAAAATAGCTATGTCCCACCATTACAATAAAAAAGAAAAAAATAGAGTACGAAAATCGAAATGAAAAAAATGAGAGATAATATCTTATATAAAAGATAAGTAATATTTCTCTTTCTTTAAATAAGAACTACAAAGAAAAGACAATGCCAAAAATGGCGGCTAGTAAAATGGTAATAAAAATGGGACCCACCCACTCAGAGCCGGAAATGCATCCAAAAAAGCGTGCCCCCTTCCCTATAAAGGCAGGGTCGTTTCAAGTAATGGTTACTTCAAAGCATAGTGCAGATTAGCACACTTCTACTTGTGGAGTTAACACAAATCTTTCCTTTTTCCTAAAAACTTTCAAAGAAAAAAAAGGAGAGAAAAGGAGAGAGGTAATTGCTATTCAACAAACCAAACAATGGAAGAAGGCAGGGTCATGAGTGAGTACACACAAGATGGAACTGTGGATCTTAAAGGAAATGCCATTCTCAAATCCAAAAGAGGTGGTTGGAAAGCTTGCTCCTTCCTTGTTGGTATCTCTCTCTCTCTCTCATATGGTCATTTTCATCTGTTTAATTAAATTCAAAAGTAATTTCCTGAAACATTAGAACCCATATTATGAAGTTTTTTTTTATAACAAGCAACCAAAACCTCTACTCTAAGAGACCTTTTACGACCAGACATGATTCTTTGAGTTGTGTTATGTTCTTGAACTTGTTTGCTTCCAGCCATGCTGATATATACTTTGTTAATTATATATTAACACATGTTTTCAATAACTATGTATAAGAATAGTATTTAAGAAGTTTAAATTTAATTTATTATTCATATATGAGCATGAACTGTTTAACTGGTGAAATAGGATTTGCTTACCTGGACGGGGTAAAGTATTTCAATATAATAGTACTTTATGAGGTAGCGGTATAGATCAAAGTTCAGTGTAGACTCGAGAGTAAACTTAACGTATGAGAGCAAAAAGAGAAATCTGAGGTAGTAATTTAGCAACGTAATAATTTTGTGACTAGTGACTAAAATGTGTCTCTGCTAATGGGTATAACTAAGTGAGGACGATTTTTCAATGATGATCGAGTGAATTAGTAATAATCGTTTTGTTCCAGTGGACCCCACAATGTGTGAAACAAACATACTCACCTGATGCTATGGTGGAGCAAACTTTTGATACAACCGTCCCCATATCATTTTCTTTTAAAATTTGTCATTTGTATTTATTTTTTTATCCTATTTTCATCTTCTCTTTTTTTGATTGGTCTTCTCTACTAATAAATGGTATCAATCCGGATGTGGGACAAATATGTAGTGCTCCTCGTCTAATGCACCGCGAGAGAGAAAGAGGGAAGAGAGAAAAGAAAAAGAAGAAAGAGAGAAATGGATTAGAGAATTAATTTCCGCGGATGTGACTGCTTCCCTAAGCCATAATGGTCGACCTATTGAACTAGAGTTAGGGCATGTTTCGGTGAGCTTATAAAAAAATATTTTTTATGTCTTTGTTTATTTTAGAAGTATTTTTTTTATAAAAGTTAAAATTATTTAAATTTTTTTTAAAATATTTGAATTTTGAAAAAAATATTTCGCTTTTGACTTCTACTTTTTTTTCAGAAGTTAAAACTTTTACCTTAAAAAAAACAAGTTTTTGACTTTAAATCAGACACGAAATAAAATTTTAAACCTATGTGGCTTATGCTTTTTATTAATGCAGACATCCAAAAGGACTATGTAGGACTAATGTTTTTTTTTTTAAAACAAAAAACAAAAACATCTTTTAGCTAAAAAATTCCATCCAAACCGGCCGTTGTGGCTGGTCCGGAACAGAACTAATTTTCATTGTCTCTTTCAAAAATTTTATATCTAGTAAATAAAATTTCCATTTTAAATTTATTTTTCATTAATGATTCCATCTAATTCAGCAATAATAATTATGTATCATGTAAATTTAAAGTTTAAATTTCATTCGCAAGCACTAATACCCAGTAATATTTTAGACACAAAATTAAAAGAATTAAACTTTTTTCATAGTTGATATCATTGTAGAATTTTTTAATAACTTAACAAAATAAGATTGAATGATAGTGTAGAAAGATCACATTTAATCCATATATGAGGATAAGCCATTTACATATTTAGACCAATACTTCTTACAAGTTAAAGCATTCTACATTTTGATTTTACAAACGTAGAGCAATTCAATTGGTGGTGAATTTTGAAGGAGCCCCTGTGGGGGTTTGCATTTATCATTATTATAAAATTTTATATCTAGTTAAAGAATTGAAACATGCAGAAACACACTATGGTTTATGGGGTTTGTATTTATCATGTAACATCACACACAAAAATTTTTTACACACACAATATTTTGTGGAGTCCGCATTTTTTTAAGCGAAAAAAAAAACTAAGACACAGAAAACAAATCTCTATAACGTGACACAAAATTTTTCCTACAACATAACTCTTATAAAACTCATAGTTTATATAAAATATTTTAGGCCTGGGGTTCATTAAGTATTCAATAATTAAAAAATAATTACAATAATATTATTTTATTAAAAGTATTTATTTTATTTAAAATAAATAATATGATATAGACCATTTTGGTCTTGTAAAAAAATCTATAATCTATTTTTTAAAAATTTAAATCTGTTTTAGTTTATTAAATATAATAAACTAAATTTAATTTGATATAGACTGAACCTTTAATCTACCCTGGTGGCCCATTTAGAAAGCAGTCTATTGTCTTAAAATTACCATAATGGAGGGAAAAGGAAGCATACTAGTTTATTATTTTATTTTCTATATAATTTTTTTCTTCGGTGTTAAGTCACCTATATTTTTATTGTAACGTTTTTGTCAACTCTGATATTAATGTGGGAGCCTGTTGGGAACAGGATATTTATTTCCAGAGCCAGTCCCTAATAATTGCATTTACTCACACCGAAAACAAAATAAATAGTACTGGTACAGTATTCATTGACATATATCCGTGCAAGAGAAAAATATTTTAAAATTATAAAAAAATATAAATAATATTTTAAAAAACTTCAAATTGATTTTTTCTAAAAAAAAAACTAAGAATGATGATATAATTTTTTAAGACAAAATGCAATGCACAAGGCTTCTCGATTTTATAAGAATAGAGATGGGCTCGATTGTGAAAAAATAAAGTAAAAATAAAATTGTGTCTCAGACTAATCACATCCATAACTCTCTAATAACAAAGCGACAATTATATTATCGTCAAGAAGGAACAATTATATTATCATTATTTCAAGTTCAACCTAAAAAATATAATTCTTTAAGAGATAATAATTTATGGGACTTTCACCAAAATATGTTTTTTTTCTTCTTAGAATATCCTTTCACCTAATTAGTTAGTGAGAGATTAATCTTCCAAGACATATAAAGGGTCAAAGGATTTCTAGAGATATTTTTTTCGTACACACAAATTTCAAAATCAAGCTTAGAACGACACACTTAATCCAAAAAAGAGAGAGGACATAGGTCGCTTTCGTTCCAATCAACACGTGTTTATTTACTTTAACTTAATATATAAAGATAAATAAATTATTTTATTAATGTGGATAAAAAAGTAACCATAAAACTTTAAAGTAATGCCATATACAGAATCTTTTTTCACTGATACATAATTTGTAAAAGTAACATAATTACTATTTTTTTTTTTTCAATTATCCTAAATGATTCTCCTCTATTTGGAAAAAGTTTATCTAGTAGCTTCTACAAGATAACTATAATTTTATATGATTCCATGGTTGTGATTGTATCATTGTTTTACATGTTGTCTAGAGATCCAAATCCTCACAACATCAAAACAAGGTTGATATTCTTGCTCAATATACTCAAAAGATGAAAGGAAATAAAATGTGAGGCTGATATATATATATATATATATATATATATATATATATATAGTAGATATATAGACACATCTTAAAGCTAAATTAAGTCAATCACGGGAACCTTCATTAAGCTGTGATATTGAGTAAAACATTGTTAATTTATTACCCTTTGGATTGAATTGTTTTGATTTAATATATTAATGACATATACATGTGATGCAGTGTATGAGATATTCGAAAGAATGGCTTATTATGGGATATCATCAAATTTGATACTGTATCTTACAAAGAAGCTTCACCAAGGCACTGTTACCTCTTCCAACAATGTCACTAATTGGGTTGGCACCATTTGGATAACTCCCATATTAGGCGCCTATGTTGCCGACGCTCACCTTGGTCGTTATTGGACTTTTGCCATTGCCTCTATCATCTATCTGTTGGTATGTCTTTCTCTCACATCTGAATCCTCCCAATAATAAAAAAATCTGAAAATATATTATTTTTGATAAAAATAAATAAATAAATATTGATTATCTTTAATATACACATAAATATATATAAACAGATCAATCATTAAGAATTAGTGAAATATTATATATATATATATATATATATATATGTATGATGTAGGAATATTTGACACCATTGTCAAATTTGAAATTTGACACCTTATCTAAGAGCCGTTAGATAAAAAAAAATCAAAGACTCGTATTTGTAAGCATGTGACACCGTTGATCTTTTTTTTATCTAAAAGCTCTCAGATGAGGTGTCAAAAATCAAATTTGACACCAATATCAAAGGATCCTACCTATATATATATATATATATATATATATATATATATATATATATATAGAGAGAGAGAGAGAGAGGTAGGATCATTTGACATCGGTGTCAAATTTGAAGTTTGACACCTTATCTGAGAGCCGTTTGATCAAAAAAGATCAACGACTCTGATTTGTACGCATGTGACACCATTGATCTTTTTTGATGTAACGACTCTCAGATGGGGTGTCAAACTTCAAATTTGACTCCGGTGTCAAAGGATCCTACCTCATATATATATATGGGTTTTATAATTCTCATTCAACGTCAGATTTCAAATTTTCTTACACATCCTTCGATTTTCGTGCTGACATGAGTCCTACATATAATTTTTTTTAACACATGAGTCTCACATGCTTTTTATCTCTACAACATGATAATTGAATTCTTATTCAACATGAGAAAATCAAAAAAAAAAAATATATATATATATATATATATATATATATATATATATATATATAATTTTTTTAATAAAACGGAGAGGTGCTGGGAGCACTGCGTCTCTCACAACATCAAGTCAGTAGAATTTATCCGCCTGCTGCACGAGAACGTTTTTGGTGGTCCTAGACCACCGTATTCTCATAAATAAGGGGCAAAAAGGAAAAGTGGGGAAATTTTGGATAAAATTGAAAAAAGAAAAATTATTATTATGAGAGCATCTAATGATTTAAAGGTCCTGAATCATATTAAAAATATTAATCAATGTGCTCAAATTATACAGTTTAGTATGTTCCACATCATACATATCTAACCCATTAATACAATCGTTTTATCTCCTATTATTATAAAATGATTGGCGAATAAAATTTAAAATAATAATAATAGAAAAAAAAATATGTATCATTTTAAAGGATGTAAAATTGTGATATTTTAAGTGAGAGAAATAGATAGATAAAGAGAAGAGAGAGTGAATAAAAAAATATAAAGGTGTGAGTTTCACCTCTTTGTGAGAGTAAAATGACATAAATTATGTCATTTAAAAGTACAAATATTTTTCCCATAATAATAACTAATATAGTTTCTAAGTAAATTAAAATTTTGAAATATGTAAAACATAAGTTATTTCCTGTAGAGAAATATTGAACTCTTTATTTAAAGAGTTTTATAAGAGTTATGTTGTAGGAAAAGTGATTGTGTAATGTTATAGAGATTTGTTTTGTGTGTCGTAATTTTTTTTCTTCTTCAAAAAGTGTGGGTCCCACAAAATGTTATGTGCGTAGAAAAATTTGTTGTGTCATGTTAAATGACAAATATAAACCCCTTATTTAAATATATAAAATCGTAAAAGATTACAATAACATATAATTAATGCAACAACCAGTTAATATAGTGTATTATAAAGAAAAATTTAGAAAATAATTTTATCTTTTATATACATATAAATTGATGGATTTTAGTTTCTTTCTTTCTCTCTTCTTTTTATTGGACCTATATGCAATAGAAACATCAACCAATATAAAAATATTATCTTACACCTCATGTTTTAAAATTCTCCGACGTTTTTTTTATCATAATGTAAAATAGTTAAAAAAAAAATTAAATATTTCAATCGGTTCATCACTTCACAACTAGTCTGATTCGGGATGCGTTCATAATAAAACTTTAATTTCCTTCAAAAGATGAAATTATGAAAGATCGAACATGTACTCCTATTTTCATCTACGCAGCTCCCATACACCAACCAACCGAACTATCGTTATTTAATGTCAATTTTTTAATATCCGTCTTACTCCTAGTACTAAAACATTCATTTATTAGCATTTTCTATTAAATGGTCATTAGTTCAACCGTAAGTACTCCAAAGTCCATAGCGCAATCACTCCAACTCCCAACTCTCAAATTCATTAAAGCCTAGGTCCATATATATATATATATATAGAGGTCAGTATCATTTTACACCAGTGTAAGTTACACTTTTTATCTTGACCATTGATCTCACTTATATCCAAGGGCTCTAATTTTTTAATAATATATATATATATATATATATATATATATGAGAAAAATGTTTATCCTTTTAAATGACACAATTTATATCCTTTCACTTTCACAAAGAGGTGAGACCCACACCTTTATTTTTTTTTGTCAAATCTCTCTCCTCATTTATCTATCTCTTTCTCTCTCTTAAAATGACACAACTTTACATCCTTTAAAATAACACACACTTTTCCCTATACATATATATAAACCAAGGCTTTAATGAAATTGAGAGTTGGGAGAATATATATATAAACCAAGGCTTTAATGAATTTGAGAGTTGGGAGAATATATATATATATATATATATATATATATATATATATATATATATATATATATATATATATATATATATATATATATATTATCCTTTGACACCGCATCAAATCCTAACCATTATTTTTCGCCAATCAATTGTTATCATTATTGTGAGTTAATAATTAATTAATAAGTTTGATTCTCAATAAAAGATAACCGTTGATTGGCAGAAATCAACGGTTAGGATTTGGTGTCAAATTTCAAAGTTTGACACCGGTGTCAAATGATCTCGCCTCAATATATATATATATATATATATATATGTATGAGGTAGGATCCTTTGACACCGGTGTCAAATTTAAAGTTTGACATCTCATTTGAAAGCTGTTGGATCAAAAAAGATCAATGGTGTCACATGCTTACAATTCAGAGTCGTTGATCTTTTTTTATCTAACGGCTCTCAGATGAGGTGTCAAACTTTAAATTTGACACCGGTGTCAAAGTACTCCTGCCTCTCTCTCTCTCTCTCTATATATATATATATATATATATATATATATATATATATATATATAGAGGTAGGATCCTTTGACACCGGTGTCAAATTTTAATTTTGACACCTCATCTCAGAACCGTTAGATAAAAAAAAATCAATCGCTCTGATTTGCAAGCATGTGACACCATTGATCTTTTTTGATCTAACGGTTCTGAGATGAGGTGTCAAAATTAAAATTTGACACCGGTGTCAAAGGATCCTACCTCATATATATATATATATATATATATATATATATATATATATATACAAAGCATTTACTCCTAAATCAAAGTAGGTTAGTTTAAGTGGTACATACTTGATTCCGCTTAAATAAGGTCTTGGGTTCAAGTCTTAATGAGAGCAGTGGCTTCACCACCGAGTGAGAGCTAGCCTCACCATTATATGGATGTGATACTTGTGGTTTATCCTAAAAAACCTTTACTCCCTTTTATATAATTAAATATTTAAATTTATATTAATATATTAAGGAATTTGTGTTTCTTATGTTTTTTTATCTCATATACACACATAAAAGTGTGTGTGGCCATATTTATTTTTCTCTCTTTTCTCTTCACATATCCCTATATATTTATGAGAAAAATGTTTCTTCAGTGACCTCAAAACGACGTCGTTTTAGGTTAATAGATTAAGAAATTAAAATGATAAAGACTAATATAACTCTGCACTATATTATAATTACAAAAATACCTTAATTTCTGTCCCAAAACTACATCATTTTGGGTTCATCGGATATAAATTATCTCCATTGACTGGAGAAATCCTTTACCCATTTATATATTAAACCAGTGGCGGACCCAAAAAATTGTATTTGTGTGTGCATATTTAGTGATGGATTCCCCGAATTTTTTTTAATAAAAATTTTAAAGGCATTAAAAACAAAAAATTTAAAAAAATAACCCTTCAACTTAACATAAATCATATGTACACATGGATACTATAAATCATCAAATGTCAACCACCAAAATCATTAGTTTCAACCAAAAAAAAAAAAAATTAATGTCCGCAATTGCAGACATAGAAACAAATGTAGGTCCGCCGTTGTATTAAACACATGGGAAAATGACTTTTCATGTTACATGAAAAGTCTCTTCTCCAAGGATTTGGATCTTTTTATGTGCAAGTTAATAATGTTATTTGATAACAATCACTCATTAATAATAAAATAAGATTGAGAAAAAATATATGACTTTTAAATAAGTGATTATTATCAAACCACGGTACCACTTTTTTTATTTGAGAGGTCCAAATCTATTCTGGTACCACCCTCATTTCGATTTCATGCCAACTATTTTTTATTTTCTATTTTTTTTTAAGACGAGTCTGGATCACTGCTTTTTCTCTCCGTAAGAAAACTTCAACGTTGCAAGCTCTAAACACATTTATATTCTAACCACTTTTTGCGTATTAATTGTTTCTATTTATTTCTCTGATAACCGTGGTCTGCAATGGAAATTCGGCCCATGACAAAAGAGTAGAAAAACGTCATAAAGTGGAAAATTTATTAATTACTCTTACTGGTCAACATAATATCCTTTTTTTTTTGGTAAAAAAAAATCCTTTTAATTTATTAATTAAAATGATTGGTTGAGAGGATTTATAGATTTGCATTATGTATGTCCATATATAGGGAAAAAAGCAGTATGAACTTTTATATATTAAATTAGTTTTTTTTAGAGTAGTTAATCTCTCGTTTTATTTTCTTTTAAAAAATAATACATATTATATTAAATTTCATTTTTAAATTTTGTATTTAGTTCTTTTAAATTAATTATTCATATTTCTCTTGTAATTTTAAACATTTTTTCTCATATTATCTTTTAGCTAGGTTATAACTTTTAAATTTTACATAAATCTAACTACCCATATAATGTCGTGAACCAACTATCATACCACTTATTCACAGAGATTCTAACATCATATTATTCCAAAAGATGACTTTTACACTTCAAATGTAAATAAAGCACAAATATGTTGGAAATTGACACACAAATTGCACAAAAATCAAGAAAATAAAAAAGAGAAAGGGAAGAGAAATTCACAGAGAGATTTATCCTGATTCATTCAATATAGACTACTTCTAGTTTGTGTGCATTATCTTCATCCCCACCATTCCTTTTTTTTTTTGCATTACATGGGAATTGAACACACACCCTTACACTACATACACCTAACTCACACACTCTTACCATTAGGCTAATCCTAGTGGATTCTCCACCATCCCTTGTTACAAGTCACTCGATTTACAAGTAAATATAAATAGGATTTAGAAAATATTCATTCAAGTTTAAACTAAAAAATTTACGTAAGAGGGACCCAATTGGCTCTGTTAATACAAAAACCCTCTGGGAAGCATGACCTATACACAATAAAAGTTAACTACTTTTATGTTAAAATTCAACTTTTTGTTATAACTTTCTCATCCAAGTTTAACGCAAATCCGAAATCTCAGGAACATATCACGAGTGTTTAATATTCTTTCCGTATATGATTCGTTTTCAGTATAAATACATTTTGCAATATGAATTCTCCCAAAATAACTTTCATTTTTTGAGATTGTTAGATATAACTTTATCTGTTTTGTGACAAAGAGAAACACTAAATCAAACCAATTTATACATGCTCAATTGTTTGGACAAGTAATTGGAAACCTCCTCCAGGGTACTTCCACCCATATTGATGGTTATATTCTCCTGATTAGTGTTTATATTAGTATTGTAGTTTGCATCTGTTCTATTAGTTTATGATGACTTGTCTTATTTGAACCTTTAATAGTGTTAGTTGAATGATTCATGCGTATTGTTGGCATTGGCAGGGTTTGTGTCTACTTACACTATCAGTTTCCCTTCCAAGCCTAAAGCCACCACAATGCCATGAAATAGATGTGACAAAATGTGAAAAAGCATCCACACTTCATCTAGCTGTGTTCTATGGTGCACTCTACACTCTAGCAGTGGGAACTGGTGGAACCAAACCAAATATTTCAACCATTGGTGCTGACCAATTTGATGATTTTGACCCCAAAGAAAAGGAGCCTAAACTCTCCTTCTTCAATTGGTGGATGTTTAGCATCTTCTTGGGGACCCTCTTTGCAAATTCTGTTCTTGTTTATATACAAGATAACGTGGGATGGACTCTTGGTTATGCTCTTCCAACTCTTGGACTCGCAATATCAATCATCATATTCTTGGCAGGCACACCCTTTTATAGACACAAATTACCAGCTGGGAGTCCCTTCACTAAAATGGCCAAGGTCATAGTGGCTGCTATAAGGAAATGGAAAGTGCCTATTCCAAGTGACTCTAAAGAACTATATGAGCTTGATTTGGAAGAGTATGCAAAGAAAGGGAAAGTCAGAATTGATCACACTCCAACATTAAGGTAGTATATATAAGTTCTTTACAAATTTGTCATAACCTTGATTTGTGTCATGAACCAATTATCCCAAAAGCTAAAATTTTAAGGTGAAGGCACATTAATGGCTTTTTTGTTTATATTTTTAACACATTCCCTCATTCAAGAGCCCTTTAGACTTGAAGGGTGGATAATATAATATTCATCTATCCCTTGTTAAGAAATCCCACAATAATTATTTGAAAATGAGAACGACAGTGATTGAATTCTAGAGCACTTGGTCATAAAGACTGTAACATCACGTCATGAACCAACTATCCCAAAAATTCAAGTTATTAGATGAAGACAAATGAATTATTTAAATATTTATATTCTAACATTGTGTAATATTGTTAATTTGTTATGTGAATGTATGTATACAAATACAAATACATATGTATATGCAGGTTCCTCAGCAAGGCCAGTGTCAATACTGGTTCAAGTACTAGTGCATGGGTGCTTTGCCCAGTTACCAACGTAGAGGAGACAAAACAAATGCTAAGAATGATTCCCATCTTGGTTGCTACGTTTGTTCCTAGTGCAATGGTTGCTCAGGCAAATACCCTTTTTGTGAAGCAAGGAATTACACTTGATAGAGGCATTGGCAGCTTCAATATTCCTCCAGCAAGTTTAGGTACATTTGTGACTCTGTCCATGCTTATCTGTGTGGTGCTCTATGATTGCTTCTTTGTCAAGATTATGCAGAGGTTGACTAAGAACCCGAGAGGGATAACCCTTCTCCAAAGAATGGGAATTGGCCTCATAATCCACATGGTGATTATGGTAATTGCATCTCTAACTGAAAGATATAGACTTAGTTTGGCCAAAGAACATGGGCTAGTTGAAAATGGAGGACAAGTCCCTTTGAGCATATTCATTTTGCTTCCTCAATTTATACTTATGGGAGCAGCTGATGCATTCTTAGAGGTTTCCAAAATTGAGTTCTTCTATGATCAAGCCCCAGAAAGCATGAAGAGCCTTGGCACTTCCTATTCAATGACTAGCTTAGGCATTGGGAATTTCCTAAGCACTTTTCTTCTGTCCACAGTTTCACACATCACAAAGGAACATGGTCACCAAGGATGGATTTTGAACAACATGAATGCTTCTCATCTTGATTACTACTATGCATTTTTGGCAGTACTAAACTTCTTGAACTTAATCTTTTTCATGATTGTTACAAAGTTCTATGTATATAGTGCTGAAGTTTCAGATTCCATAAAAGTGCTTGAGGAAGAACTGAAGGAGAAGACAGCCACTGTGTCAAACCAAGTGATTCCAAGATATTAGATGATTGGATATTTTAAAGTGGTATTGAAGATGATAGAACATCCAAAACTGTAAGAACATGCATGATATGTAACTTTGGGATGTTTTTGGTAATTGCGAACCATCTTAGAAGATAATAATTGATTGAATTATAATTATTTTGATATATATGATAGTGGGTCTTTATTGTGTGATGATTTAATGTGTCTTTGGGTTAGTTTATTTTGAGATAAACAGTTGTGACTCAATAGTTTTTTTAAAGAACTTCTAGAAAGAAAGAAAAAAAAATTATTTCTCAAATCTATCTCCAATCATGCATTAATTAAATGCATGGCTGGATTCAGCTATTTTGTAACAATTTTTTTTTTTTTTTTGATAAACTTTTTGTAACAAATTTTATTTATTTTATTTTTGTTAACTTTAGCTTTTTAAAAATCGATTCTTTCTCTTAAGAGAGATGTTACCTAACACTTACATGTTAAGTATAGGATTTTTTATGAAAAAAATTGAGCTCTATTGAGGGAGTTGTGCCTCAAGCCCACAAGTATGAAAAATAATATTCGCTAATGTCTTCAATCAATTAAACAATAATTTAAGAGGGGGGTTGTATTTACACCCTCTTTCGTTTACAATCTCTCATAATCAAATTTTAACTGTTAATATCTGTAAATCTAACGGTTATAATTTATTGAGTCACACTTATTAATTTTTAATAAATTATAAATATCATATTGACGAAAATCAAAACAATTAAATTTTAGTTGTAAGAGGTTATAAGTGAAAAGAGTGATAAATATAACCTTCCTCCTAATTTAAATAACAACTACAAAAATCAAAACATAACTTGACACTACCAACATGCTGATAACTTCCTACATGCAACTACCCAATAGCCACTACCTACAGTTACTAAGTGTAATAGAATAACTCAAATACAATAGTTACCACAATCACGTCAGATTAATAGAAATACAATAACAGAAAAAGAATACAATATGGAATATTGTAGAAAATCTGAAGATTATTTCCATTTATTAAGAGAGTTTGTCAAATATTTAATTAATAGGATTCAATCATTAGGATTATTTTTATTTCCGTTTTTATTTAGGATTGATTAGTTTCCTTTTTTCTTGTTTTATTTTCTTTTTCAATCACGCATGGTGTGTATTTATATATGTATCCTCTCCTTACTGCAATTACAATTCTATTGGGATAATTTGTATAGATTCATTTGTTAGATTAATTTGTTATTCTTTTGTTTGTTAGCTGATATGAGTTGTTAGCTAACATTCTTGATAAGTATAAATCTTTTGTATTATTTTCAGGATAATTTAAATATTCTGATAAGATTTTAGTTAGGTTGTTTTAGTTTTCCTTTGTATCATGGCTTTATTTAAACAAGCCTTTAGCTGTTCAATCAATCAAGTCACATATTTCAAATATTCTTGTTATGGTATCATGAGCCAAAAGATCTAAGCCTTTCTTCTTCCTTGCTTTGCTAGCCAGAACCATGGCTGCTTCAAGCAAAAATTTCAAAATTATTGATCCTCGTTCTCCCTTTTACACTCATCCTTCCGATAATCCCGGAATTCTTCTTATTAGACGCGGTCATGCTGCCTCTTCTGCCCAAGCTGCGCACACCATCACAACTCAACCAGAAAAATCCACAACCGGTACTGCCTCTTTGCCGAGCCTTACACCGGAAGTGTTTCAACAATTGCTGGCTCTGGTTGATTCTTCTAAACAGTCATCTGACAAGCTTTCTGGTAACACACATACTTCTATTTCATGGTTTATTGATAGTGGTGCATCCCAACACATGACTGGTAACGTTGCTTTTTTATCTGATATTCGATCCATATCCCCTTGTACCGTGGGTTTGCCTAATGGAAATCGAACAACTGCAGTAAAGAGTGGCACTGTTTCATTAACTTCTTCATTAGTTCTAACTAATGTGCTATGTGTTCCATCTCTCACCTGCAACCTGATTTCAGTCTCTCAGTTAATAAAGTCAAATACATGCTACGTAATTTTTACTGACAAAAATTGCATCTTACAGGACCAACACTTGAGGACAACGATTGGATGGGGTGATGCGCAGGAAGGGGTGTATGTCTTGAGGAATTCGTCAATTTTCACTGATGCAATACAAATTTCGGATTCTTCCTCTTTGTGGCATAGAAGACTTGTTCATCCTTCTCGACATTATCTTTCACTGCTTCCTTTTATTTCAAGCTCGAATAATGCTGGTGTTTATGATGTATGTTCTAGAGCTAAACAGGCTCGTAGTCCATTTCCAATAAATAAAAAACGCAGCTTGCATGCCTTTGATTTAATTCACTGTGATCTCTAGGGTCCTTATGCTACTGTCTCCTTCACTGGTGCTAAATATTTTTTGACTATTGTGGACGATTACAGTCGAAATGTGTGGATATTTTTAATGCAAAATAAAGGAGAAACATATTCACATTTTCAATTTTTTCTTAACATGGTTTCCACTCAGTTTCAAACATCAGTAAAAAGCATTCAAACAGATAATGGAAGTGAATTTATGTCATCTATGATGCAAACTTTATTGGCAGATTTTGGTATTCTTCATAAGCAATCATGTACTTACACACCCCAACAAAATGGACGTGTGGAAAGAAAGCATCGTCATATTCTTAATGTAGCTCGTGCACTACGATTTGATGGTAATCTGCCTCTTCATTTTTGGAGTGATTGCATTCTCAACGCTGCTCATCTCATAAATTGAACTCCCACAAAACTCCTTGATGGCAAAACTCCTTTTGAAGTTCTTCATGGAAAAGCTCCATCATATGATCACTTGCGAGTTATTGGATGTCTATGTTATGCTACTGTAGTGCCTAAACCATCAGACAAATTTGCTGCTAAATCGAAACGTTGCATTCTCCTTGGTTATCCGATCAATGAGAAGGGTTGGAAGCTTTTTGATTTGGAATCAAATGAGGTATTTATTTCTCGCGATGTTAATTTTCATGAGGATAAAATTCCTTTTGCTCTACACAACAGGCTTTCTTCTTCTCCAACTGGTATACCGCATGCAAATCCGAAAATTTATGAACCACCATATGCCAATTTACCCGAACCAGTTTCTGACGTGGTGAGTTCGACTTCAGCAGCTTCCGACGCGGTGGTTGCATCTCCTGCAGCTTCTGACTCGGTGACTTCAGCTTCCGACGCGATAGTGGTATCCCCAACAGTTTCCGAAGCGGTGAATGTGCCTTCCTCTTCCGAGAATACTGATGCTAATTCTTCTCATTTGTCTCCTATTATTACCTCTCACGATAGGGGGAGCTCTCTATCTGCCATGTTGCCAGTGGTTGCACCGAATCAACGTGCGTGAATACAGCATAAAGCTCTTGCCTATCTTAGTGACTATCAATGCAATTCCACGACTACACCCTCTTATACCAACATCACTCCTTCAGTCACCTCAGGTAAACCGTATCTTATAGATCAATTTTTGTCTAACAATAAATTTTCTACGCAGCATCAGAGATTTATTGCAGCTGTTAGTGCACATATTGAATCTACTACGTTCAAGGAGGCCATGCTAAATAAAATGTGGCAAGTAGCTATGCAACTCAAAATTGATGCATTGGAAGCAAATAAAACTTGGGTTATTACTAACTTGCCTCCTGGAAAGAAAGTTATTCCTTGCAAATGGGTGTTCCACATAAAATACAAATCTGATGGCTCCATTGACCGTTATAAAGCACGTTTAGTCATTGCTGGCAATAATCAGATTGAAGGAGAAGACTATACAGAAACATTCGCACCTGTAGAAAAAATGGTTAGTGTGCGTACTTTTTTATCTGTGGCTGTTGCAAAGGGTTGGGAGTTACATCAACTTGACGTTCAAAATGCTTTTCTTCATGGTGATCTCTGTAACAGCCCATTGTACACCGGTATTATTAATATTAATTATGATATTAAGCGCAGTTACAATCACAGCAATTCATTTATAAAAGTACGAATAAACTTTTTTCGATTATTACGCGAGCATTTAAAACAATAAAAGCGTAATAATTAAAAGCTGTGACTATAACTGTTAACTCTTGCGGAATACTTATTTTAACTAATTTTACTTCTTACTTTACTTATTATAATACTAAGGGGTTTCCATAAACCCACTTAGCCAATTACTCAATTTTACGTTTTTACTTCTTTGAACATGGTTCACTAATTAATTTTCTGTGAACACATCGCTCACAACCAGACCTTCTTCTCAGTTTATATTTTTTTATTACTTAATTCACTTTCTAATAAGCTATCACACATTTCAATCGGAGCTCGTTTGCTCCGGCTATCGCCGTTTGAAGTTGGATAAGCAAAACAGCCAACCAACCCCAAAACAGCTCAAAACCTCTCTCACTCCACGAATTACTGCAGCAAATTCAATCATCCAATTGATCTCAAATTTTTATGCTACAAACTAGATACCTCAACCTTCAATTTGATATATCATACGCTTAATTTTACTGAGAAACGAAACAAGAATTAATTTCCCAAAACTGGTCCAGAACTGCCACATGTGCAGTAGGCACATGAGCGGTCTGCGTTCCTCCATTTTTTTTAGGTAGAATAACAACCCAGATTTTTCCCAAATTTTGACACAAGGTAGAGGACATCTCGACCTTCAAAACGGCATATGGCATGTCCCTATCGGACCTCTATGAAGGGAGATATGCTCTCCTGAAGTTCGTCCAAATATGCCAATTCTACAGAAAATTCGCCAGTGTTTCTTTTGTTTTTCCTTAAAATCCCCAATTTGTACAAGCTCACTAATGTCTCAAAGGTACCTAATAATCCAATAATAATCCAGTAATAATCCAATGGATGGTACACACAAGGACCAACAACGCCTTGGGGCACTTACAACCCAATCCAGTTTATATTTATTACACCAATAGCTTACTTTAAAATCCATACATAGTTTCAATCACTAATTCCAATTTCATGCATATTTCATCATACAAGTACTCATAACCTAAAATAGGCCTAAAGCCCTTCCATCATATCATGTCATGCATCAAGTACAATTACAATATTTACTCTACAATTTACAACTTAAAACTTAAAC